TGGTTACAACGTGTCCTTCTATCACGGCCTCACCGCCGATCTACCTCACACGAGTCTGAGGGCGTGCGCATTCCTCACGCCGATGTAGTTACCCTAGTCACACTCCTTCCTCTCAGAATTCGTATCATAAATGCGCCCTTAACAGCGATCTCTTCTCGTCAAGTCTGCGCCGTGATACCTCAGTACAATATAACCTCCTCTCTCTCTCTCTCCCTCTCTCTCTCTCTCCCTCTCTCTCTCTCTCCCTCTCTCTCTCTCTCCCTCTCTCTCTCTCTCCATTCGAATTCCCCTCGGTAATAACACTCTTCAAGCGGACACTAGGGGTGGAGGAAGGGGTAAGAAAGGGGTGGTCACTTACCACCAAGATCTGCACGAGAGGTCGTTCGACCCGGGGTCACCCCCAAGGCTTCGTCACGGACCTCTACGCCTCCCTACTCGTTAGGGCATCATGTCAACCCTAACGGCGAGGTATGGGCAGTACGCTCAAGCGCCATCTCTTTTCAGGGCCAATATATTCGGAGGGAAGCGATATCGCGTATTCGTCGAGACCAAGTATTCAAACGCTAGGTTGCAGCGATCCAACTCCTCAAGGTATATCCCGTTCGTTCTCGACAGACTGCTGGCTCGAACTCACCTTGGATTCGGGTCAGAACTGCTCTCCGCCGGAAGTGTGTTCTTTCTACCTGGTTGAAAACGGCACCACTGGCCTAAAGGCTTTTTAGGGTATCGTCCTCGACGCTCGCGCCATGGGCTCTGTCCCTTGAGGATATTGGACGTGGTAACGAGCCCGCGCGGCGGCGAAGTGACTGATAACGGAGGAGGTCTGCGCAAGCGACATGTAGTTTCAATGTATTTGCGGTACTCTGCGAGAGTGGTGGCACCGATCCAGTGAAGCTGACCACGGGCCAGTATTTGCAGGAAATCGCAAACACCACGGGCATGTTGTGTATGCTGAAGACAAGGCTCCAGGCCCGCATGGACGTTGAACCTCCTGCAGTAGATTTGTGGCGCTTTGGGAACCGTCACGATTTGCCGTCCAATCTTGGTGCGGCGCTGCGCTGGCGTCACGAAGGCAGCATCTTTCACGCAGAGCTGGCTTGAAGCTAGCCACCCAAACTAAATATGACTGTTGTAGAAGATGTCAAGGTTGAAGGATCTGGGCAGTGTTGAAGTCGTGGTCCCGAGTACCGATGTGAAACCCCCCAGTCTCCCCTTCTTGCTGCATACACCATGTCCGAGCCCAGGTAGCGGTTACAGGCGAATAGAGTTGTATGCTCCTAGGCCCTCTTGACCTTCGACAAGCCCAGCACTCCTATTCTCGAATGAGAATGATCAAAGAAGTTCATCAAACAGGGTGGGATCTTACCTCTCCACTGCTGCCTTCTCCCATACGTTCGCCATCTGTACCAGCTGGCTGATTGATATGGGGGGATCGGCTGATCCGGATACTCTGGCGAGTTCCACTTTCACTGGAAGTAAGAACAAGCATAACTTGGCCATCCCACTGCGTGCCATTCGTTTCCGACTCTGTCCTAGCCGTTGCTGGTACGCGATAAGCGGCAGAAGCTTCTGAGCCACTGGGAGTCCACGGCCGAGAGGTGCGTTGATCAAGTCGCGAGGCTCTGCCTCAGGGTGGCAGGTGTTGTCTTGCTTGACCCATGGTTCCATATTTTCGGGCCATGACCCCGGGGTCCAGGGATTGCGATGCCTCCGCAAGTTTGGCTTCGAAGGCAGCAATAATGTCCATGGTGAAATCATGGTTTCCGGCAATAACTAGTTTGAGTGGAGCGTAAAGATTCGTCGTGTTGGCTGCGTCGATGACACTACCACCCCCGACGGCGATGAATGCATCAGGCTGGTACCTTCTCGAAAACTGGATGGCTTTGAGAACCACAGATGTGCAGACAAATGGTCAGACATACAAGAATGGCCTGGCAGGAACTTGAACGGGAGGGAATTTCTGGGGAGAAACGCCAGAAGTAGAGGACGATGCCACATGTCTTTTGTAGGGGTCTCGCAGATATCCTGTGTCAAAGTATTAATGAATAGATGGACGCCCTCGTCAACGAGCTGCTCATCCGGTACATCAAACATCAGGCCCAGCGGGTACCCGAACGTTGTGAACTCGTTGGACGCTTCGCAGCCGCCTGTGTCACTAGGGAGCATTGGCGTCCCCTCCACTCGTAACGCCCTCTCTCTCGTTCTGCTTGATGAGAGTGTCATGTGTGCCGGACTCGACAATCTCACCGTCCTCCGGCAAGTTCTCTTCTCCTGAGCTGGACAAAGCCGAAGATATCTGACCGGCATGCACGACTGTAGACAGTCGGTCGGGTGTAATCACAACCGCGGTCCAGACGACGACACGTGCTGTTCGCGCGTTTGTCCACATGCTTTGCGGTTCTTGGGTGCCGTCGACTGAGGAATTTGGGTAGAAGTTTCGCCGTAGACGTTGTCGGAAAGGCTTTCATAACTTCTCACAGAATTGACTTGGGTTGAACCAATCTTGGAGCTTGAAAAGGAATCGGTCGTGCCACGGCCAGGCTCTTTTGCAAAGGAAGGATGTCGCAGGAACGCCGTTGCCAACGTACAAGCCCGCAACCATCAATCTGGCTGATATGAACGTGCTGTCGACGGTACAATCCACACTGGCAAATCGAGTCCTGCAACAGCGAGATGGAGGTCCCTCGACATTCCAACCATTGTTCCGACATAATGACGATGCTCTTAGCCTCCTCGAATGGGTGGCAGGGCCGTTGAGCGAGGTTTGGCGAAGTTGGTTGTCGTCGATGTATCTCTGGACCAGTTGACCGGGGGGGTTGCGCAACTCGAAAATTTCGAAACATGGCGGCAGCGACACGGAGATCGCATGGGAGACGCTCACAATGCTCCTGATACTGCCCATATGTTTGGTGAGCGGATTGAATCCCGCGTTGTGGTGCTGTGCTCGATGGCGATGGAGAGAGGCGGAGTCTTGCCGCCACGCTCCAGAGGTCGCGGTGCTTCGATCTGGGCCCCTGGAGAGTGGACGACGGAGCGTGGACATGTCCAAGAGTAATGAACCCTGCGGAGGGGCTTCCGGTTGCTCCCCGGGTCCGTGGGCGGCTGGTGTGGTGGTGGGAGCTGCGGGCTCGTCGGAAGCTGGTGCTTGAAGCTCCCTTGGAGCGAATCTTCGTCGTTTCGTCCAGAGATCAAGTGGCCGAAGCAATAGCAACCCAGACGATGGACGACGAACGGTACACGAGCTTCGACGCCTCATATCGAGGTGGATTTGTTGGCACGGAGGTGGTCACATTCATGACAATGAATTACCTCAGGACGAGGATATCCTGTCAAGAGGCTTTCATCAGGTCATGCACGCGTCCTGATCCGGTGATATGCATGGATCTGATGGAGAATCAAGTTTGCCTGTATGAATGTAGGAGGGATGTACAACTGTCCGACAATCGGAGTCATTGACACAGACCTCCTCTTCTCTTGCTCCTCCTCCGTTTGGAGACCAACACACCACGATATCGACCATCAACCAGTCTTTTCGGCACGCGTATAGTGCTCATTCCCAGTTTCAAGTGCGTGGTAGAACAAGACAATCCTCTTCAGCTTTGATCGTAGTAGGAAAAGCTTGGACTGCATCAGACTGCATCAAGCTGCATCAGACAGGCTCGAATAGGCTCGGATAGGCTCTAATAGTATCAGAGAGTATCAGACAGCCTCAGAGAGCCTCAGACAGTATCAGAGGGTATCAGAGGGGATCAGAGGGGATCAGACCGCATCAGATAGACTCGGATAGGCTCGAATAGACTTACACAGGATCAGCCAGGATCAGACAGGATCGGACCGTATCAGACATTTTCAGAGAGGATCAGACAGGCTCGGATAGGATAGGATCGGGTAGAACAAGATCTGACAGGGTTCAGTCGCTGTTCAGTGAGGAAGCCTAATAATAGTAGAAAAATGTGCGAACGTGGAAGGGGAGAGAGAGTAGAAAGGTAGACCCGTACACAGATAGGTAGACAGGGACAGCGAGAGCCTCGCAATTGTGACATGAAGATCGTGAATATTAATTTATCTCCTCCTCCTCCTCCTCCTCCTCAGTTTGCAGATAAACTAACCGCGACACTGACAATCAATCAGTCCTTTCGGCACTACCATAGTACTAGTTCCCAATTCGACTGGATTATGCAGTTTGCAACAGGACGTGTTGTTTGAAAGCGCCCTGGTCCTGCGTGACGTTACTGGAGGATTTAGCGGACGACGACGTCGGGGTAGCTAGGGCGCTAGAGTGTGTGGTAGAACAAGACAGTACTCTTCTCGGCTTCGATCGTGGCAGGGTAGGGCAGGTCACGACATCGTCAGTCGCTTCGCGTTCTGTAAGAGAAGCCATGTTAGAAGTATCTGCAAAAGTGAAAGTCGAGGGGGGCAGGAAGGTGGACAGACGGGCGCACGTAGAACGTTGAAGATGAATCGGTAAACACAAGAACAGTTGTGGACTTCGAACTCTGAACGAGAAGTCAAACGGCGCGAATCGATGTTCCCTCCAATTGACCTGAACCGAGTCGATTAGCTTTCCCTGGAGGCATTTATCGTTCTCGTTAGCAGACGAGGGGTGAAATCATGTATAGCTCGTAAGTGGTAATTGATCAGAAAGCGTTGGTTGGGGAACTCAAGATTGAAACTCACTGGAACGTCCTCCAAATCGAAACAGTAGAGGAGCCGTACAACCACGATCCAGACCATGCTCAATAGCTTGAGAACGTACATCCGCTTCTCTGTCTCTATTTGCCTTTCATAATTGTTTTCCCTCTTCAACTCTTCGGCGGTCTTCTCGTTGTCTAGGGGCTCAGGCAGGGCCATGGACATCGGACCGGTGATGCCATGTTTGCGGTTTCGTGGTTCAGGGTCAGTCATGGCGTGCGCCAGTCGACATTCGTTTCTGCCACGTTGTACCCCGAACATACGCCCCGGCGTGCATGTAGAGTACTCGGCTATTGCAGCCAGCGGTATAGGAGCTTTATAAGCCTGGATGCTGCCCTTGAGACGCCAATGGAACATGATGCAGGTTGTGTCGAACGTCGTCGAGCACGAGGTTGATAGGAGGGTCCGCCACATGTCCATTTGCATGGGATATCACAATAACATCCTGAGCCTCGTCCAGGCGAGCGGAGGCAACGAAGAAACGAGGAGGTTCTTCATGAAGCCACCCCGTGGGACAAACAATGCCGGGCAGCAACGACATCTGTTGTCGTGTCTTCTCGTCCCTCTTGAGCAGAATACGCTTCTGCGGTCCATTGCCGTCGTTTCCTCGTCCTGACAAACTTTTCCAAGCCAGATATATGAGCTGACATGCTTCCGCCTGCGTTTAACTCTGAAACGGCTATTCTCGGGGTCTTCAGCGGGAGTTTCTGTGTCGTCAGACCTGTCAACTGGCGACATTCTGACTTTGTTGACGAGATTGAAGCCGATTCTGGTGTTGCAGAAGACATTGCACACTTGTCTTTGATCCAGCCCGTCAGTGCGATCAGCTCCATATGTTCTGAAGGCGTGACGCCAACCCCCGACAAATTTTGTCGGGGACATTGATCAGCTACTTCAGCACTGGCCTGCGCTTTACCAGCACCGTCTTTGCCGTTTCCATTCACTGATAGCGGATCCTGCTCCTCGCCCGCTTCGTCGATCGGACTGGATACGTATGAGTATCTCTCTGTCGTAATAGCTGAGTGGCAGCATGTTGGTTTTGCTGCGAGGTGAAGATCCCCAATCCGTTTCTTTCCTTCTGCTCTTGCTCGGACTCTTGTAGACTGACTGACTGAGCCCGGTATCGATCACTAGCTCTTCAGCTCTACCAATCCCAAGGTCTGTGTAGTACGTAGAGCGAGACAATGCGGATCGCTTCGATCGTGGCAGGATGTAACAAGACGAGTAACGAATCTATGAGATGCTATGTTAGTGATATCTGCCAACGTAACGCGGAGGGGGGAATGGTAGACACGGACGGACATGGAATATGGATCGGTGTATACATAAAGAGTGTCTCAATATGAAGTGAAGATGCGCACTTGTCTCCCTACTCCTGCTCTTGATCCTTCTCTTACTCCAACTCTTATAGACTGACTGACCGACCATGGAATCGATCAATCAACCCATCCGCACTGCCAACCGCCAGGTCTGGGTAGGAGAAGGAGAATACGCCTCGATCGTAGCAGGATCGGACAAGGTTCAGTCGCTTTCCTGCAACAGAAGCCATGTCAGTGATATCTGTAGATGTAGCGCGAAGGAAGGGAGCGTAGAGACGGACGGACATGGAATATGAATCGGTATACACACGGAAAGTGCCTGAGTATGATGTGAAGTTGCTGCCTGTGTTTCCCTCCTCCTTCTATTGCTCCGACTCTTATTCCGACTCTTGTAGACCGACCGACCATTGGATCGATCAATCTGCCCTTCAGCATTACCAATCGTCAGGTCGTGATAGAGGAAGGACAATACGCTTCGATCGTAGCAAGGAAGGACGGGGCAGGTCAGGATAGGACAGGGATCGCTTGCTTTTCGGTGAGGAAGCCTGGTTGTATTAGCAATATCGGAGAGAGTAGAGGGAAGAGTGGAGAGGTGGACAGACGGACAGGTAGACAGACAGACGGAGATGCGGGCGTGGAAGATTGAATATGTAATACGATGAGTATGCCCTCGATAATGTGATATAAAGAGCGTGTTTTTGTTTTGACCTCGTAAACCTCGCCTCCACCATGGTCGTCTGAGTCTTCGTTGTCTTCTTCATCCTCATCCTCCTCTTCATCCTCAATGTCAACCGCATTCACCCCCATAATCGTCCAGGAAGTAGTTCATATCGCGTATTCCGGGTGAAAAGCCTGCATCTTTCTCGTGTAGTGTAAACCGACCAGTCACGGCGTCGATCAATCAGGCTTTCGGCATCATCACGCCACTAATCTCGCTTTGCGTCTGGGTAGAAGAGCGGAGGGCGCCTTCGATCGTGGCAGGACAGGACAGGACAGGACAGCGTTTAGCTGCTTTTCTGTAAGGAAAGCCTGGCCATGTTAGATATACCTACGAACATAAGCGTAGAGGATAGACGGACGCACGGATATGGAATCTCAGATGTGGAACGCGATCAGTTTGCTGAAAACACTGTGATACATATGAACACCGTGACGTTATTTCCCTGCTCCCACTCCTCCTCGTGGATTGTAGACCGACCGACCGTTCGCGGCGTCAATCGGTCAGCGCTTCGGCATCATCACACCACCAATCCCCCTTTGGGTCTGAGCAGAAGAGAGATAATGCTCTTCGATCGCAGCAGGACGGGACAGGATTTCAGTCGCTGGTCTGTGAGGAAGCCTGGCCGTGTTAGAAATATCTGCGACAGGGTAGGGAAGAGAAGAGCGGTGGACAGACAGCCAGACAGCCAGACAGCCAGACAGCCAGACAGCCAGACGAGCAGACGAACAGACGGACGTGGAAGACTGAATATTATTAAGATTGAATATTATCACGGCGCCACCAGGAACAGGAGGAATCTCCACTGTAAGGGTGCAATTATGATATGAATTCTGAGACGAATTGCGCGGTAGAGATACACATATCCAGCCTCGTGCGGAGTAGCCAGCCTTATGCGGGATAACCTTACACGTGCTTCTTAGTCCGTGATCAATACGGAATGCGACTAGTATGCCCACGCCACCACGATATAAAGACCGTGATTTGTATTTCACTGCTCTTACTCCTCCTCGTATACTGTAGACCTACCGTTCGCGCGGTCAATGAGTCGGCCGTTTGGCAGCATCACACCAGTCCTCCGCCTTTAGGTCCGTGTAGGAGGGAGATGATGGGCTTCGACAGTGGCAGGACGGGGGTCAGCCGCTTCGCTTTCCATGAGGAAGCCTGAATACGTTGAAGATCAGAATTTAAGTCCGGCGGTGGAACGTCTGGTTTGTGAGTTGGAATCGTTGTGGCGGACATGTTCGTGTATCTCTCTGCGAAAGCGGATGTAACAGCGGAGGACGGAGGTTGAAAGGCAGGCGGATGGACGTGGAATCGAAACAGGAGATGTGAATCGGCGTGCCCACGAGATAATATCTCGCTAAATGTAAAAGATCGTGCATGACTTTGTTTCCCTGCCCCGTCTCTGGTCCCTAGTCTTGTCCCTCCTCTTGTAGAGCGGAGCCCGTAGGCGGTATCGGCATCGTAGCCGGCCTTTCGGTATGACAAATCGCCAGGAGGAATAGGAGAAAGAGCCAATTCGCTTCGATCGTGGTAGGACAAGGGGCCAGTCGCTTCGCTTCCAGCGAGGAAGCTTGACTATGTTAGATAGAGTTCTGTGTAAGTGCAGATATAAAATCGAAGCGGAAGGGTGGAAAGGTAAGTAGATGGACCGAAGTGAAATCGAAAGAGTAGATGTTGATTAGTATACCCACGAAGAATGCCACACTAGATGTTGAAGATCGTGCTCGACTTTGTTTTCCTGCCCCGTCTCTTGTACGACTCTTGTAGACCGGAGCCCGTAAGCGGTGTCGACAATTATAGTCAGCCTTTCGGTATGGCCAATCGCCATGGGGAATAGGAAAACGCGGTGCTTCGCCTCGATCGTGGCAGCATAGGGGTCATCCGCCTCGCTTTCCGTTAGGGAGCCTGGTTATGTTGGAGATCTCTTCTAATGCGAATGCAAAATCGAAGCGGGAGGGTAGACGGATCAAAGTGAAATCGAAAGAATAGATGTGAATCTGCATGCCCATGAAGATTGTCTTGCTGAATGTGAAGGATTGTGCACGACTTCGTTTCCCTGCTCTTGTCCCTACTCTTGAAGACCAACCCCGTGGCGGTGTCAACATCAGAGGCAGCCTTTTGATCTGGGCAGTCGTCAGGAGGAATATGACAACGCGCCGTTTCGCTTCGATCGTGGCAGGATGGGCGAGATCTGTCGTTTTCCTGTGAGAGAAGCCATGTTAGAAATGTTCTGCGAACGTTGAAGTGGAGAGAAGTGTGGAAAGGCGGACGGACAGACAGACGGACGGAGATGGAACACGGCACATGGAACATGAATCGACATGCCACACAACGAGCCTCGCAATATAGTGTCAGATGAAGATTGTGTCCTTTGCCTGCCCTGCTCTCACAGATGTAGACCAATCGCAGTGTCGATAGAGCCTTCTTGGTAGCGGTAGCCCGGTTGTTTCCCAAGTCCTTCTCTTGTAGACCGACTGACCGAGCCGCGGCATCAACAATCAACAGCCGATCGCCATCACCGGACCACCAATCCGTAGGTCCGAGTGGGTGGAACAAGACAATGCACTTCGGCTTCGATCGTAGTAGGACAGCAGGGGCGCAGGCGCAGGAGCTTTCTGTTCGCTGTGAGAGAAGCCCCGTTAGAACCGAATAGAAACGAAAGCGGAGGAGGGAGGGCAGAGATACGCACGGATAGATATAGAAGAGGGAACATGAAGAGTATCGTAATGTCACGCCGTGGCCTTGACAACGTTGAATGTTGAGTGTGGGAGAAGAGTTCATGGACACTCAACAAGGCTGACTACCCCACACGAGGCTGAGTGTCCATGAACTATTCTCCCGCGAGTTGCGCGCTATTACTAGTATGTCATAATTCCTCCTGTCCCAGGTTGCGCCGTGATACATAATGTAGTATGAAGGTCGTGACTTTGTTTCCCTGCTCCTGCTCCTGCTTGTATTCTTGTAGACTAACTGACTGACCGACCGACCGCGGCATCGAAGCGTCGAGGCATTGATGATTCGTCGTTTCCGCACCATTAATCCGCAGGTAAATCTGGGGGGAGCAAGATAACGCGCTCCGACTTCGATTGTAGCAGGACAGTAAAGGACAGCACAGGCTCAGTTGTTATCTGTTGTCTGTGAGAGAGGCCATGTTAGAAGCGTCTGTGACAGAGAGAGCGGACGGAGGTGTAGACAGACAGACGGACATGGAATAGGGAACACGTAGATGAATCAACCCATGGCGAGATACCCCCTCCAATGAACCGGCTGCGATTTGGCCACGCGCAGGTCCCGAACCTTCCCGGCCTCATCGGTCATGTTGATGTCCATTTCTGTGTCTTTTCCCGTTCCGTCGTGTTCCATCCATCCAATTTGTGCGGGTCTTTGATGTCTCTGTCTGCAGATTTTACCCGAGATCCCATGGAGGCGAAGGAAGGACTCTTGTTTCTATTGTTATTTATTAGCCAAGGTATCTTTTGTGCCAAAGTCTGCCAATTTGGTATTCCGGATGCTGTTGAGATTCCGCGCACATGTGTGATCATGTTCGAGCAACGAGCCGGGGCGGCGCTGATCTTGCAGCCAGCGAGGCGACTCTGGCGTGAAAGGTGGGAGTGGTGTAAAATTGTCACGATAGCGCGAGCACCATCTGTATGCATGAAACCGGTTCATAGCCTCCTCAATCCATAGCCTCCTCAATTGATTCTTTTCCTCAGCCCATAAACAAATATTCCGTCAACTTGACAATGGCGACCCAATCGACCACTCGGAAGAAACACAGCGGCTCGACTGGAGCAAAACATCCAACACGAGAGAGCCAAATCTCCGCGCTCTGCATACTGCGAATTCTCTGGCACTCCAGCTCTTCAAGTCGAGCGGCCTCTCGTCAGCTCGCTGTGGCAACCGCGTAGTCACGCCACCTGGAGAATAGATCGGAATGCATCCTCAGGGACCAGCACGAGCACTGCCAATTAGGCAGAACTTCATCAAGGATGCCGGATTGTTGAGCTCAACGAGTTGCTTCAAGCGTCAAGCGAGGAGGTGCGGGTTCTGAGAGAGCAGGTTTTGAGAGAGCAGGTTTTGGGAGAGCAGGTTTTGAGAGAGCATGTTCTGGAGCATCAGCCTATAGACGACGGCAATCCTGGGGCCATCTCCACATCAGTACCTTTGAGCGATTAACTCTGCTGGTCACGGCCCTCCTCGAGTGTGCAACAATCCGTTCATGTCCCCCACCACTATCACGCCAAACATTCTCTTGCGGGCCTCCTAGCCCCTCTCCCACCCTCTGCCGATCTTTCGGACCTCCATAAAAGCCTCTTTCTCACCGTCTGTCGATCCTTCGGATCTCCGTACTAGCCTCTCTTGCCAACTCCGTGTAGTCCTTGCTAGTTCTGACGATGTCAGGGTGGATCTGGTTAGGTCTGGTTGTACCTGGCCCTTCAATATGATTAGTCAGAATATGGGCTGTACAATGTAAACCTCTCTACAGACGATCGGATTATCCTTGGCCAAACCGTCTGGACGCTAGACGAATCGAGTTAGCGCCATCACGTGCCGTGATGAGGGTGACCCTTGGGGTTTTTGCGACACCGCGATGCACCAGGGCTCTAGATACACCATTGGGCGTTGCGGTAGTGGGCTTTACATCAGCAGACTGGAGCTTGGTCTGACGATTCTGCGACAATATTTTGAATGCTCGATAGGCTCGCCTCCGATATGCACATACCTCTGGGCCGATATCGACCATCCCAACGCCATTCACCTGCAGGGGCTCGACTAGCGAGCTCGGAACGTGGTAGTTTACTCGACAATAATTGCGTTTGCGAGGGATTCTGTAGGGTGTGTCGTTCCAAGGATATTGGGCGAGAGCGAAGGGGGCATTGCACTTTCTTCCATTCGCCGCCTCCTGGCGTCTCTTCCAGCCGTAGGTTTTCTATCCGCATGTCCTGCTTCTGCTGGCTCCACGGTCTCGCCAAGTGTGGATCCAGGACGCTGCCGCAGCCAGCATAGTGATATACCGCCTACAAAGAAACTCCCACCTTTTGAACCTGTCTCCTGGATGGTGCTTGGGCCCTTTTGTGTCCATTGTCAACCACCGGCTGCCAAACTGCGGTTGAACCTCTCCCTCCACTTCGCCTTCAGGCCTGGAAACTGTCGGTGGTGTCCCGCGAGAACATCGACGGAGGAACGATGATTGAGTTCCTTGACATACTTTCCCATGCGAATAAGCGTAGACCCTCGAACGTAATGCAGGTGAACGCGACGAGCTCGGTCTCGAGGGACATCAGGGTCGAGAACTCCCAGGAGTCAAGCGAGGTTAAGCGGGAACGCGACGGTATTTCTGGCGGTTCAGAATGTCTCCAACCTTCCGCGTAGCAGTGGACGGAAAAGGCGCTATTGCGGGTCTTCGAGATGGTAAACGCGTCTCATTGCGGGAAGTTCTCTCGAGCGTGAGTGTCACGGCCTTGACATGTCAAGTGTGGCATACCCGCACAAGGCTGACTACCCCACACGAGGCTGAGAGGTCATGAACTCTTCTATCGCGAGTTGCGCGCCACTACTACTTAGACTCTTCCGCCTCAGAATTCATGTCATAATTGCACCCCAACAGTGGAGATTCCTCCTCTCCTAGTTACGCCATGATAGTGAGGGTAGCCCCCTTCACTTCTACCTCATCAAGGCATCGGTAGCTCTCGGCACTGACTCGACCCCGGTGGTAGTACATCAATGCTCCAGGTCAATGGCTGCCACCTGTAGTCTGCCTTGGTGAATAGACTTTGAATTTCCACATGTTCCTTGCCTTTGCGTAATTTTTCCAGTTGGGCGCTTCGAACTTGTCGACTCTTGCTCCCGGCGAAGCGCTCCGCAACGTCCGAATCATACCCTAGCCTTTGGGAAACACCTTTACCGATCAATGCATGCGAAAAGAACCTCGGGGCTTTCGAGGATGCGGCTCCATTCACCAGGAAGCGCCGATGTATCATCTGTGCGTAGCCACTTGACGAGGATGCGAGATTCAGACCTCGGCGTCTGCCCGCGTCAAGCTCCCGTAGGCCTGGCTTCACGTAGCCATTCAAAAGGCCAGAAGGTTATCTTCAGCGTACGAACCATGAGACGATACGCATCCGAGGCGGAACTTGGCCCTGTGCCTCCCGTAGCAGAGATATTGTCCAGTACTTTGCAAATCAAGATCCAACACCGTATGCCCAGCATTCAAAGACCTTCGTAGCCAGGTGAAGCTCCAGTCTCGAATCTCCAGTACCTCCCGTTCCCCCGTAAGAGAAGTGAAGAAGAGAGGACTGAACCGACATCATCACGTCGTCGTCAATTCTTCAAGTCGTCATTGACACCTTCCAGCCCGCTTCACTCCTGTGTTTCAACACCGGCATCCTGTTTCATCTGGGCTTGTCGTTGGGTGGAGTTCGAGTTGGAAGAGAGGTCCTTCAAACAAAACAAAAGATCCTTCAAAGACTGGCCAAAATGTACATGGAACTTCATCGGAGCTGGGCCAGAGCTGACCGAAAGGGGCGAGGTTTTCCAATGCGTCTGTTGGGCCATTGACAAGGAAATGATCGTCCTTGGGCTCGACCCCTCCTTCGAGAATCTGTCGAATTTCATAGCGCTTGCTAACTGCGTCGCTCTTAAAGACTCTTCGGCGCAATTAAGTCTTTATGTATGTTGCAAACAGATCCGGGAAGAGGCATTGGGCACATGCTTCATGAAAACGAGTCCGGATGCGACTTGTCTGTCTTGTGGAAGTGTAGCAGACGTAGAAATAGGAGGCTTTCTCGAAGCGATGTAGAGCCAGACGAGGGGAGGGCGCCGTAAGCTAAGAGTGGAGGTCGACATATCTGAGGAGCAAGGTCAGAATGAGACCACGGTCAAGCGTAGTCGTATGCGTCGGATATCGCTCAGAAGCCTGAACAGCATATCCTGACAGCTATGCGCAAGCCCTTCGATCTGGGCAAAGCCAATGTTGATGTACTCGAGCTCGACCAGACCAACCAAAAATCTGTCGATGCTGCAGCTGCGCTCGTCAAAGAAGCAGACATAGGCTTTGCAGTCAACACTTCCCGCAATGGCAGATGACGAGGACAATGAGACAACAAGACCATTGAGCCCGGTTATCGCCCGCGGCACGCTGCTCGTTCTGACCTCTCCGGTCGACGGGTAACCTCGGTGGAAAGTTCCATGCATTGAATGGCTGAACAGTCCTCCTTCCGTCATTCTCCCTCGATGTCGTGATATCGGCGCATGTAGTCCTTGAATAGTCTATTCTAGGCAAATCGGGCTCCGCAGGCCGCGATATCGGCGACTCGTTGCCCCGAACATCAACGAGAAGATCAGCAGGCTCGTCTTCGGGGGGTCGTGTCGACAAACGCGCGAGATACTGGTGTCGGAGGTGGTTGAATTCGACTGGATTCACCTTCGGGTGCCGGTATACGCCCTCCATCATCAACAGGTGGTTCTGGCAGACGCAGACAATGGACCGCAGGGACCTGAGCGACGAGGAGCGCCTGGCGCGCCACATGAAAGAATTCACCACGCCGCCCAAGACGCCGGCCGAGAAGGACGACGAGATGGACGATCTCAAGGGCGTCATCGACGACACGATCCGTGGCATGAAGCAGATCGCCATCAACCTGCTGTGCGTCGCGAGATTCCGCATCGCAGGTTGCCCCAAACCATCAATATTTCGCCTCGGCGCTCAACATGCGCCTTTGACCAGTCCTATACTCGAACTCGCGTCCATTCTGGAAATTCAAGATCCTCTCGCTATATCGAGTCCTCTCGCTTTATCGAGTCCTCTCGCTTTATCGAGTCCTCTCGCTTTATCGACATCATGTTTCGGTCGTCGACGTATTCCCGTAGTGGTCTGTCATCAACAGGAGTGGCAGCCACAGGACTTTCTGCGATACCATCAGCTCCTGAAATGGGGAATTGAAAGCCAGCAGAAGTTCGCTTCTGCTCTGCGAGTTCAGCAGCCTTCTTTGGCTCGGGAAGAGCTAATGAACGACACGTCGAGTTTGTCCACTTTGTGTAGAGCCACCTCTTCGTCCGCGGCCACTGGGTTCTCACGGTTCTGACCCATTGCCTGCTGGTTGAAGTCGCCAAAGGCTAAACCAGCAGTACCAGTAGATGGTGCTGGGGGAGGAGGCAACTCCGCGAATTGGCTCCGGTTTCCGATGTTCATGCCTCTTTTCTGGATCAAGCGCGCGTACTCTATGGTTCTTTGTGCGAACTCTGCGTAGTCGCTGGCCGTGAGATCCTCGATGAGTATAAGGATGTCGAACGCTGCTCGTTTCACAAGCCACACTGTAGGTTTTCCTTCTTCTTCGTTACAGCGCCTGCGTCGTGGATTGGAGTCAGGTGCTGGCGCGGACAACGCTGGCGGGCATCATAATAGTATTGCCCCCTAATTTTGCCAGGGTTCCACAAGGATATGTCCCTCTCTCGTTTCCTGCTTTTCTGTCCTTTCCATTCAGTCTGCTGATTCGAGAGGCGAGTACCGTGGCGGGAGTGAAGCGAGACGAAACAATGTGGTAGCGTGCTGTCCAGGGCTCGCTTTGCAAGCAGTGACCTTTGCAGCGAGGTGTTGTTGGACGTCAGGCGCCTGCACAACGCAGCCCTTGAGACAATATCCAGCAACCACGGCGCTCTTTGCGGCGTTCGAACGGTCTTTGCGTTGTTCGAGGGGTTAGACGGGCTAGATGATTCGGGGCAACAACGAGAGGAAGACCTCGAGATAGATGGCAACGGGGAGTATGAGTTCTCGCTGCCTCGAGACGCCACGAGTCGTTCTGCTCTTTGTGTTTCCCACTGAGGATAAGATGTATTCCAGGCCCTTGTAGAGCCACATTGTAGAGCACCACCGCGTACCAGGCAGGTCGTAGCAGCAGTTGCAATACCGCCTCGTGAAGAGAACCAGTCATAGATAGGGCCAATAGTGAGAGAGCATCGATGAAGCCTCCAGCGTGGAACAGAGAGTCTCTCTTCAAGACGCCTTCTGCATGTTATCTGTTGCATCTTCATCTTGTGTATCCGTGCTCTTGTGTATCCATTCCCTTGTGCATCCGTGCTCTTGTATATCCGTTCTCTTGTGCATTAGTTCTCTTATGTATCCGTACTCTTGTGTACCGTTCTCTTCTATGCCCGTTCATCTTGTGTGTCCATTCTCTTGTGTGTCCATTCTCTTGTGTGTCCATTCTCTTGTGTGTCCATTCTCTTGTGTGTCCATTCTCTTGTGTATTAGTTCTCTTGTGTATTAGTTCTCTTGTAAGCCCGTTCGTCCTATGGGTCCGTTCGTCCTATGGGTCCGTTCGTCTCGTAGGTCCGTTCGTCTCGTAGGTCCGTTCGTCTCGTAGGTCCGTTCGTCTCGTAGGTCCGTTCGTCTCGTAGGTCCGTTCGTCTTGTACATTTCCTCTTCAGTGGGCTTCAGGGAGCCTCCGCTATGAAGTGAAACCTCAAGGCTCAAGCGTTCCGCAAGACACAACTGTCAAAGTTAGCATGCGTGAGAAGAGCCAGCACGGAGAGGGCGAACCGATTCGTTGCAGAGGGGTTCAAGCTTGCGTGCGTTGTGGAGCCCTTTTCGAGCATCAGACACAAAAAGGTCCTGCGGTTCGTGGTATCAGGAAGCATTGTTGGACTCGACATTCCGGCAAACAGGTGGATGGTATCTGTCGAAGGACGTTTCAGCTTGGTCATCGGCATCTGAGTTGATATTGTACTTCAGTTGAGACATCGTCGCGTGCAATCAAGAATGTGCTGGAGTGTCTTCCTCTCCTGGCAGCTACCGAGTATCACAAATCTAGGACATTGTTAGCGAAACAGTCAGGAGAAAGGTTCCAGGCACTTACAACGGCCAGTGGCTATGGACCGTGTTGTCTCTCGCGTCTCTACGGCAGCCGGTCAAGCCAATCAAAGGACCGGAGAAATTCTTCCGGGGACTTCTGATTGGTTACTTCAGGCGGGTAGTGGTAGTGGTCGCTAATCAATGTCCCCGACAAAACTTGTCGGGGCCTTTAATTAGCTAACCTCCCCTAACCTGTATATCTAAGTACCTTCACACTCGGTCCGTGAATGCCGTCAAGTCCTTCTCCACGGAGTTTACTTCTTCTAGACCGGCCATTCGTCGTCTGTTGCTGTCGAGATTGGTCACCAAGGATGGGAAATGAAGGTCACCGAGGAGACAGACGTCGGGTGTTGCTGTATCCGAGGATGCGGCGGCAGAGAGAGAGAGAGACCTCCCTTGTTGATTTATAGACTGTCGAGCACCTTGCTGCACTCCCTTTGCTGGTTCTCATCCCCCGTCAAGGGCCCTAAGTATCGGCGAATCCCAGATGTCCATTCTATCGCTCTTCTTCAACGATTTTCTTGATTTCTCGACGTAATCGCGCGGCGACTCGCATGAAAGGTCGCTGCACTCTGCTACCCTATACCCGTCGAAGACGGCAAAGTAAAAGACCCGAGGATGCTAATGATGGTTGTTGTAGACGATGTGGATCGCTGGAAGAGATAGCCAGTGACCACCCAGATTGTTGGCGGCCATGGCAGAGACGGAGATCTCATGGTAGCGGATGAAGGGCCTTTCTAGATTGCACATCGAGGTGCGGTGTCCAGGGGAAAACACCATCACAAGGTCAAGGTCGCGCGCGACAAGAAGATAACGAGTGTATATATCATTGGTGGTAATAAACTAAAAAGAGAGCCGACCAATGTAAATGGCTTTCAGTTCATGTATGGAATTCGTCATGTCGTCACAGTCCACCAACCCATATGCCAACGTTCGCCTTACCCAGTGCTCCCGTGTGCGTAGGTAACCGCCTAGCGAAGACCTTGAAGCCGAGAAAAGTGACCACCGACGGACCAATGCAACCAATCCTACCGACCCTCCTTGCTTCGTCCGGAAGCGATTCATACCGGCGCCGTTTTCCATCTCTGGGCTCTGCCGTTGAACCCATGAACATCGACACGTTTCCCATCTCCCTCGCAGCTATGGCTGCCCCGGGTACTACCCCCGCGGAGGAGGCCATTGAGACAACTGACGGGTCAATTTAGATAACGGCCGGGTCCATTTTTCCCGCCGCAGGAGCGACTGCGTATGTGCGGCCACTTCAGCCCGTGCGACCAGTTCGTCCCATGAGGCCCCTGCAGCCAGTGCGGCCTCTACGGTGGTGTTCGGGAAGTGATCCTTCCACTTGCTCGGGTCTGTAACCACGTTCGCGGGATTCATGGGACCGGGTTCCGTGGTGAGGGTCTCAGGCACACGATGCAGCGGTGCTGGTGAAGCTTGGGCTTCTACTTTGATCGGGCCGGCGTTGTTGTTGGCGTGCTGATCATGGGCTGGCATCTCCTCCTTCACGGCTGGTATCTCGAGTTCGGCCTGGCGTTGCGCGGCCCTGAACGCCGCGAGGTGCTCTATCGCTAGATCGACGAAAGGTAGATTGTTCTCGCGGGCAAATGCTTCGTCAAACTGCCTGCATGACATCTGGGGCACCCAGCTGTACGAGCTAAAGGTTTCGTCAGCATACCTTGGTTGTGCGAAGTCGTAGCCACTGTAGAACGAAGGAGAATGAGAAAGTGGCAGCAATGAGACTCGGGGCAGCACCTACTCGAGCCGTTGTCCATCCTCATCGCTATACCAGAGCGCAGGTCTATTCTCCTTCAAGAATCTCTCCCGGGGAGTGCCATGTTCCGCCTCGCTTTCTTCTTGCGCATTCTCCTTATCCCACTCTTCGGCCTCGCGGATATGACCCTCGAGTAGGTCAGCCACACTCGGGTCAGTGTCGGGCCGGCAGATGCGTATGGCAAGCCAGCACTCATCGGGAGTCCAAAAACACAGGCATACGTAGCCCTCGCTGCGAAAGTCTTTTTCCTCGACAGGACGCAAGCCCGGCAGCTCGGGAGGAGGCCCCCAGAAGGCCTCCGAATCATCGCCGGTATCGGAAGTCTTCGTATCGTTGTCGTCCGCTCTCATGCGTTTGGACGGAATGTCCCCAGAGACTGTTGATTCTCGGCGCGTGTGTTTGGACGGAATGACCACGGAGACTGTAGATGTCTGGTTAGTGCGTTTGCCCGACAGATACGGCGCTTTACCTTTGTTCTTGCTGGCTCGCCCGTGCTTCATGGTGGACAAAGTGGCCTGGGTTGAAAATGTAAAGAAAATGCGGCGCAGAGTGAGCACGATCAGCAAAGGGAAGTGTATAAAAGAAACGGAGAATCAGAACAATCGCCAAGAAAGCGGGCATCAAGACCACCAGCAGCGTAGTGTGACGGTTGGGGGATCGCCTGCCCCACTGATTTCTGACTAGTCAAAGTAAGTTAGGCTAAGAGGGTTGAGAGAATGGGAGGGTTTTCAACAAAGGATAAACAAAGGCTTATCCAAAGCACGTGCCAGTGGCCGTTGATAGATCACATTAGGAGTCCGCTTGGGTTCCCACGAGCGAATGAGCCCTTGGACGGAAGGGGGCCACGTCACCAGCTCTACCAGTCGAAAGATGAGGCTGGGCGCTTGGAAGAGAGTCAGACACCTGTACAGGACCAGATGTGGACTGAAGGTACGACCCCGCAGCCCAATGTGGTTAAGAAGCACCGAACTCCGCCAAGAAAGTGCGGCAGCACGACTTGTCGCGAACCTAGCCCCTTGGCACTATCACGTGCCACTCTCCAGGGCCACTTGGAATATGTTCACACAACAGAACCTCAACCCTTTAGAGACGTACTGCAATTCAATCCAACTCATTGCCTGTTGAGGCTAGTCGCATCGATTAGATCTATGATCGTGATAAGCACATCCAGTCACGTCGCGAATCCTTGTCAAACGCGCTGTCCGCTGTGTGTGTGTGATGTCAAGTGTGTTGCTGTCCCAACCCTATGAGGAATGTTAGCCGAATAATTTCCCAACGCGGCACCCAACACACCCGCAGGTGCGCTGAATAGATCCCCTTGCCTGATGAAATCAAGTTGCATATTCCACTTCCACCCTCACTCGCCTTCTGTCCTCAGCCATCGTCATGTCATCCTCACAAGATCCTGTTCAGTTTGCCTCCCCAGCTGCTTCGCTCGCGCCAACTGAACCAGCCACATCCTTTACGGCCAGCACTGTCCCCGACGAACCCGAGACCGCTTCTCCCCAGGTTCGATGGGTCCTGGACTTCATGTACCCTTCAAAAGAAGGAGCGCAGTTTGTCGAATGCTACGTCTGTGAAGGGCCGAGGATGTCGCTTGAGCAGAGCCAGAACCGGAACCCTCCTGCACTCGTCATATTCAGCAACGCACACGTGCTGTTCACTGCACCGCCCCCGAATTACGCCTTTCGCGAGACATTTTTCCTCGTCGAGACGATACTGAGGGACTTTGGCAGGGACGGTTGGGGTGCCGTGAAGCCTGACAACATCAACAGCTCCCTGTGCAGTGTCGGTGTGCTTCTTGGGGTGAAGACGCACGCGCTCACGAAAGCCATGCGCAAGGCAGCTCGACAGATCACGAAGGGCTGTATGGACATTCCAGATGACGGAGAATGGGATTGCACCGCGGACGCTAAGGACCTTTGCGAGTGTCGAGGTTGCCTTGCACGTTATGGGAGGCAAACTGGTGCTGGCAGTAAACGACAGTTGGCGATCGATGAGGAGGAGGAGGATCGGATAGAAAATAGGACCATTATATTCAGGCGGGAGTAGTGCTTGAGTTACAGAGGAGGAGGAGGGTTCTGGCGTAAAGGCAAAGAGTGTTCCTATTTTATAGTATATCATTTGTATATCTAGTTCCTGACAATTAATTCCCGGCTTCCAGGAATATCAGTTACCCCTTTGTTGCCTCGTCGATCAACCCGGCTTCACCATCGGAGACAAGCGAGGATGACGACGAGGTCGAGGAGATCCCTAAACGACGGAAACGGCAGCATTGGACTCTCCAGACCTCCGTCGCCGAAAAGGAGTAGGGTCATCAGACTGCGGAAACACGGGCTTTAAGAGGATGAGGATGAAGAAGCAGCTGGGGTCCTTCTTCATCTGTGATCTTTGGTAGATTCATTGAGATAGACAATCAAGTTAAGAACTGTGTGCTGCCTACCCTGCCCTTCCCAGCGCCGTATAAGTTGATGCACTTTGGCCTACAACCTCGTCCCATTTCACCAGATGCATCGCGCTGCTCATTGCTTTCCGGCATGCCCGGGCTCAACGTCTCTCTGTCGTGCCGAGGGATGGGGCGCAGGAATGATCAGTTCCCTGGACAAGAGGATGGCAGAGTAGTTATTACAAATTGATAGCTATCTTTACACGCCGCATGATTGTGCATGCATCTGAGTATGTGACCCTTTAGGGGCGATGACGAAGGCCTTGAACTCAAGTGGTGGCCGACATCTGGGCCCTCGAGGGTATCTCTCATTCCATCATGCAGTCAGAATGGTTGACCTTCCACAGGTACCCATTTCTTCTTGTCCTGCGCAGCCTCCATTGTCATCTCTTCCTGTCGAGGGCCAGACGACATGTCCACCATCTCCACTCTCGTGGTCTGCGAGACCTTTATCACACCCGGCTCTATGTCCTCAGCATCCTGATCCCCAGGATCGTGCCCGCAACACAAGGAGGTCCGCCACCACCTGGCGAAACGCTGCCAGGGTGATGGGGCCTTCTGTTCAGAAGGCAACGGCCTGTGTATCACGAAGGTGGCTAGAGGCCTAATGCTGGATCCAACGAGGATCTCATCCTCCTCCTGTCCCGCGGTTACGGACGTTGTCCCAGGTTCTTCCGACCCGCCGGCGTCCTTCATATACTTGGCCGGCTTGACCGTCGAACCGGATGATGAGCTCGAGCGGCTCAAAGGTTGCGGCCGGCCGGTAGGGGTGTGTCGGGATGGGGGGTTGTATTCCTGATTTTGCCCGTCGTCCACCTCGGGCCGTAGGTCCAGCCAGCTGTCATCGACCGGTCTGAATATTGTCGACCTGGAGCCCGACTGTAAGCGCTGTAGAGAGTTGCGAGTACTGTATGATGATTCCGCGTCGTCGTCGCCAAACGCTTCGTCTGCGACTTCATCGAGAATTCTCCATATATCCGACATGCGGGTTGTCTGCAGGTCGACCGGGCTGGGTCTCCTTATAACCGGCTCAATAGTTTCCGGTATCGTGTCGTCGTCGCCAAGCACTTCGTTTGCGACTTCATCGAGAATTCTGCATAAATCCGACATGCTGGTTGTCTGCAGGTCGATCGGGCTGGGTCTCCTTATATCCGGCTCAATAGTTTCCGGTATCATGTTGGCGTCGGCCCAGGTCGGCCGCATTTCGCCAGAAGTCTGGAGCAGCTGCTTCGCCTCATTTACTCCCCGTTGATGTGCCTCAACGAAAGGGGCCGGAAGTTCCCTCCTACCAGACCTGACAGGGAGATTGTTGACCTGACAGAAAAAGTCGAAATTGTTGGCCTGCGCTGTCATGATGAGGGAGGATGATTGATGAGGAAGTATGATTGATGAGGAGGAGGATTGATGAGGAAGGATGATTGATGAGGAGGATTGATGATGGCAGTGCGAAGAGAAGCGGCGGGCGCCCGCGCGAGATCATAATCGCATACTTATACATGCTCCGGGACCTCGATCATGGGCTCATGGAGCGATACAAGCCCCTCCTCTTTCTGACGTCCCTATAGCTGATCGTTAGCTTGCGCCCTCGTGTTAATCCCGTTGCAGAGACTGGAAACTCCCTCCACCAGCACCGGGACCCCCCATCCGTCTCCCCTTTGACCGTCGCACTGGCTGATGCCCTGGGCTGTCACATTCGCTCACGCTTTGGATGATGCGTTGAGTGCGGTGTCGAATGCTGTCTTGGTTGTGCCGGATTGCTAGCGGCAATCCTGTTGGCTGTTTTATGTGGATCTGCGGGCTTCGAATTGGCGATCACACCCGCTAAGGTCTTGGCCATCACACTCGCTACCGCTTTGGACGCGACGCTAAGTGATGTTTTGGCTGCGATGGGCTAGCCGGCCAGCGACAGTGCGCCACCACGTGCCAGCAAGCAGCACTTTTCAGGGTTTCTAGCCCACCCACCAGCCGCACTCTCTTGCGGATTTGTTCTGTGCGACGATGGGAAATCATGCGGCTAGTCTTCCTGATAGGGTTAGGACAGCAGGAATGTCCAGCTTTGTACTCTGGCACCTCAGGTTCGACATATTGGTGGGACGCAATCTCCACCTAACCTGTCTCTCGCAGTGGACTGTGCAAGCCGGTGACCTGTCTCATTTACGCTTGAAATGGAATAGCATAATGCTGTTCAGGAGAGCCGGGAGATGTTGCATAAGTTATGCTATCAAAAGCTCTGCCGTTGGAACTTCTTGAGTAGCTTGTTCAGAACCTCTTCTTCCTCGGTCGAGACATCAGACCCAAGAGCACGGCAAAGGAAAAAGATGGTCTGTTCCTCGATGGACACACCGTCCTGCTCAACCACTTCGTAGTATGTGTCCACGCCGTAATCCGCCTCATGACGCTCCGGTGTGCTATCCCGGTCACCCCCCCTGACAACAAGCACCTGGTGGCACTCCGGAAACTGCCAGCGACAGCAAACCATTCCTCGTTGCAGGGGAGTTTTTCCCGCTAGCTCATTTCCTCGTTGCAGCGGAGTTTTGTGATCCAGTGTCAGTGACGGATCTAAGTATCTTGCCGCTTTCGGCTGGGTGGGACTGATCAGCGTGAAGCCTTTCGCAACGACCGCCCCGGAAAAGTGCTGCTTCAGTCTAAATGGGAAATTCTGGCCGGTGTGGAAATCATCGTAGAAGTCAGCCAAGTCGTGGTAAATCACCTGGTTGCCCCGTTTCCGGTGCATCCTAGTGACCCGTAGAAGTGATCCGCCGAAACCAGGCTTTCCGTCGCGCCTCTGAAACACGTCTTTACCAGCGAGATTGAAGACGGTCGGACGATGGTGAGTTGGAAGCGGTGGGTCAGGCGGCGCAGGTGGTTCATCCTGGGGAGGGGGAAGCTGTCAACGGTCAGCGCCTATAGAATAGCAGACGAAGAAAGTTTACCGGGTTCCGTCTCGAAGCCTTTGCTTCCTGCTGTCTCTCGACTTCCGGGTCCCACCTCAAACTCTTTTTGACCATCCTGCTAAGGCTGCTAAGGCGATCGAGCGCACCCTAGTTGCAGTACGGAAGGAAGTAAGAGCTCCGTAGAAAAAGCCTCCCAGGAATTGTAGATCCTTTTATCAATGTCCTGCTCTTCAGTGACGCTCGACTCTCCAGTTCCTCAGACCAAAAACTACCGCTTCCAGGTGTTGCTGCACACCATGACGGAACAGACAAAACATCGTCTCCCAACGTGGCGCCGATACTTGCTTGCCACGTCAACCACGCCCTGCTTTGACAAGCGGGCTGGCTGTATGGCTTCCAGGGAGTGTGACGAAAAGCGACCAAGGAAAATTGATACATGCAAGTGGTGCGCCTAACCTGTGCGCTGAACTCGCGATTCACGATCGAGTGCGGCACGTGGTTCGCTACATCTAGCTGCATTAGCATGGGGCCATGGTCTTAGGTGCCGCAACGCGTGCCGCAACTCTGCAACCACTCGCTCTTCATCATGCACGCCCAGTCCAATCCTTGTTGGCTTTTTGACAGATCAAAGAAAGCAAAAAACAGGTTGACGAAACGATAGTTCGTTGGGGGTTGGGCCACCATGCTCCACCCACCTGGAAGCTACGAGAAGAGAGTAAGACATGGAAGGTCTTGGCTTGCCCTAAATCTCTTGCCCACACTGTTGCACATTCCACTTTCAGGAGACACCCATGCAGACACACCAGTCAGGACTCAAATTTCTCACCCCCTGCAGCCAGCTGAGCCACGGCATCCTTGTACCAGCCTCTCCATTCCTCTGACGCCATGGCTAACCTGGCATTTTCCTGGGAGCTGGTCGACCACGACATACGTATCCAACACAAACTGGCAACGACGGAAGTCGACATGACCTGGTCCGCCAAACCACCCCGATGCGAGTACATCGCCGAATCGAACGGCGAGGGCTTCCAGGTCTATTTTTTCGCGGGGCTTTCCATCGACATCGCAGAGGCACTCCTTGAGGAAATCTCGGGGGAACTGAACCCTACATTGCTGCGCTCGCTGGAACAACTGTCGAAAAAGGAGCCGCAGCTAGTCGTACGTGCGCTGATACGGTACCTCACGCCTCCGAAATTCCATTACATAAGGATCTTCTGCGTGGACCAAAGCTATAGGCGGCTTCCGAGAACTCACCTCGACAAACACGTCCCCTCTCCTAAAGTGGTCCTCTGCGATCCCGTGGGTGTACACACCAACTTCACGCCCGAGCACTTGCTGGAGTATGCCCACGCTTTTGCAACCGACTTGCAGATGGAGGAGGTAAACAGGCTGTACAATATCCAGTGGAAGGAAATGAGGAAGTTGCGAAATCGCCAGTCAACTTCCACAGCATCCCGCCCGACCAAAGAAGACCCCCGCAGAGACCGCTTACTTTGGGTAGCGGAGCATGGTCCAGTTTCACCCAAGATCCTCGACGATCTTGTCAGCCGTTTCGGGCCGAAGAAAACTTCCACAATCGAACCAGATGACCCCCTTCCTGACACAGCTCCTCCATTGTGAGCGGTATGGGGACCAGAAGTCCAGAGGTGTTTGTGGCGTGGGTCTTTACACTCTGTCTTACATTATTGAGGGATCATGGAGGGATCATGGAGGGGATGGAGGGATCATGGAGGGAGGGATGACGGGAGTGACCCGGCCAGCGCAGAACGGTGGCGCTCATCACTTTGAGCTTTAGTGCACCATGGGGACGGGGAGGTCTGAAAGTGCCGATCCCTATGCTGTACCTAGTCGATGAATCCGAGAATTGTACTACTTGACCTTTCCCGCAAAGTCTTCAGGCCGCCCGCCGATGCCAACGTGTGGAGGTATGGCGGCACGATATACTCGTCCAGAATTCGAGCTACCACACTTCCCCGGCGCCACAACGCCTAGGTGCATATACCAAGACGCAGTGTCCGCTTGGCAAGCAAGGAAGCCAATCAACCCGCCCAGGATCGTTTGAGCTCTCAAAACTTGACAGGTCCCCTTGAAGCAGACCTCTGCCAGCATGCGGAAATTGCAAGAGAGGGCGGGAAACAACAGAATAGCCCAAAAGAAAGGATCTTCCATGAGCATCACCTTGAATTCCGCCGATATTTTCTTCAGAAACCCAAATCTCCCATCAGAGTTCTTTTCTCTTCAAGCTCTTCAACTGTGATTTTTCTTCGCTCAGAGCAACCCATCCCGCATCGTCATGGCGGAGCATCTCGCGCTGTGGCAGAAATTCTACGATACAGACGCCAAAGGGCGTCCGGTCAACGCCGAGTTTCTCGGAAGATTCGGGGCGGAGCCCGTCAGGCTCGTTTTTTGCAAAGATGAACCGTCAGCGGATGAGATCGCCCTCGCCCCAGACGGGGCAACATCTATATATTTCACCAGACAGACACTCAACTGGGACGGGCATCTAGATTTCGACAAGCGTGTCATCGTGTTTGGCACTCGCGAGTATCGACGGTGCGGTTCGCGCATCAGCCAGCCCTGGAGCGAGGAGATGAAGCCGGAGCAATCGTGCCTCCCCATTGACCTCGCGGTGCTTCATGACCCGGCCATATACCTCCACGCCGCGGCTACATTGTTCACTGACGTGACAGAGCATCAACTGGAAGCGATCAAAAGAGACATGAAGTCGCCGCCGCCCCAGTACGGTCCTGTCTCGGAACAGCAGGAAGATCCTACCCCGTTGACACTCACGCCACCGAACACACCGGCATTCGAAGACCTATTTATGCAGTCTTTGTCTCTCCAAGACAGTGCTGTGCCTTTAGCTGCGAGGGCGGAGGCCGTCAAGCTGCGCATGGTCACGAAAAAGCGGGCACGAAGGCAACGGTCTCGAGTTCCTCATCCGAGGAAAGCTACTTTGCGGTTGGCGAAAAGACGTCTCGCGCTCTCCGGGAGGGGGGTACTCGGGGCAACGAGCTTAGTTCGAGGCGGTCGAACATTTACGGTCCAGGAATCGGGCAGATGTACGGAGGAGTTGTAGTCATCTATGCTATATGTCAATCCGGTATACGGTTCGGTCGTCCGTGTCGTATGCGGTCATCGTCGCCGGTGGGACTATAGTGGTCATATGGTCGGTTGGGGCAACATCAGGGGTCGATGTCAAAAGCAGGCTGTGCTTGGTCCTTCACGCAGTGAAAGGGGGCATAGCATTTTTTTTTATCTACTTATCAGGCTCCGTAAAGCGGCTGCCTTCTATCAAACAGGAGGGCGAACTCATATCAAAATTTCCATTGACCGGTTGCCTTCTGTGCCTACGATGTAATTGACCCAGAGTATCTAGAAGTGTAGCGGCTGGGATTTACCGGTGGTTCGCTCACGTGGAGATGAGGCAAGACTGTGACGCGTGCGGTATAGATGATGACCTCATTCGAGGTGTTCGCGCCCAACTGACTGCCAAGGTAGTCGGGGAGGGTGAATGCGTTGGCTTAGAGACACGGCAACGGCCAACGCCCCCCCTCGCCCCCCCCCCCCCCCCTCCTCGCCCACC